ATATATATATATGAATATACTCTATATGAAATTTGTTGCCTTTCTGTCATAGAAATTGATTGGTACTTTGCTAAAAAAAAATTGGTAGCATCTCTGATCAAAATCTGTTTCTGCAGGCTTGACTATTTGGAATGTAACCAAGAAATTTAATAGCAAATTCAATATAATACAATGCGCACTAATGCATTAAAGCCGTTATAAACAAATTGAGATAAAAATATGTGTTTAATATAAATATAGGAACAGATTAAATCGCGAAATCTTCAATATATTTTATTGTGCTGTTAAATGAAATATGTATTTTATAATTTGAAATATCTACATTTCACACTCACATTAAATCACAGCGTACAGTATACAGCGGTTTAATATACACTAATGCAATTGAATTCTTTTAGATTTTTCGATTACATTCCAAATGGCTAAGCCTGCAGAAACAAAATTTCGAGAAGTAATTTGTGAGTAGAGTATCAATATGTATGCTACCAACTTTTAAAGGCAGAAAAGCTACAAATTTCACGTGAAGTCTGTAATATTTGACCATGTTGGCAAAAAAATAGTCAAAAATATGACAAAATCTGTTGTATATTGTGTCATTAGATTAGCGACAAAAATCGAACAGGATTTGTAACTTTTGTCGATTGCCCGCGTGCGCAAATCCTGCTTGGCTTCTTCCACCAGCTGATGCATATAGTATGTCAACAGACTGTCGACAAATCCTAAACTTACAATCTAAATTTTTGGGAATGAAATTTCACTCCAAGAAAAGTGATAATTGCGCCATTCCTTCAAAAAGTGAATTTCCTAAAAGGTCAACTTTAATAATTAATATCTCACTTCGCGAGGCAGAGCGACGCTTTTCTCTACCATATTCGTTTTGTGTAAAAATATGTCAAATGAGTCTAATTTCATCAAGATTGAATGTAGGAGGGCTAAATTTAATATTTATCTTTTGCTTTCGGAGAGTAAAATTATTCGGAGAATTGACTCTCGCTTGGAGTGATTTTTCAATCTCTAAGAGCGAAAATTTGTTAGAGAATTTATTGACAATCTGCCAAATTTTTATTATTTGGAGTTATGTTAGCATGTGTAAAAAAAATATAGTATCGTCACTAGGCGATACAATATAAAAAATATAATTTCGATTGACAAATTGAAGTTGCCAGGTCCAAATTTCTGTCAGTCATATCCGATTCCCAAGCAGAAATCACGATAACATCAAAATGATATTAAAATGAATTGGAAATGATTGAGAAATGACTTTTAATAATCATTTTGGAATCATATTCACATCATTTTAGTATCATAATGACTTGTTCTCCTTGGCTTAGTACTCTGAGAATTATCCAGCTTTCCTAAAATGATTTTAATCAAATCGGAGATGACCTCGTTATAAACAATGTAATACGCAACAATATACAGATGTATTAATAGCCATAAGCAATTTACTTCTCCCTCTTTCGCTCTTTCTCACACACATACACACACACACACACACACACACACACACACACACACACACACACACGCATGCACGCACGCACGCACGCACGCACGCACGCACGCACGCACATTCCATACATTCATTCCATTGCGATCACTCAAATCTTTCTGCATAATGACATAATCAGTTATGGTATTAATTTTCTAACAAGTTAAAACGCTTGAGGGGATCTAGACTCAGCTAATTAAATATCGATTTCTCTCTCTTTCTCTTTCTCTCTCTCTCTCTCTCTCTCTCTCTCTCTCTCTCTCTCTCTCTCTCTCTCTCTCTCCTTTTTTCTATCTCCCTCTTTCCTTCTTATATGAATAATAAGCGAATAACAGCGATAAAAACCGCTCGTCCTTCATATCACTTTGAAGGACTGCTCCATGTTCTTTCAGGGATGTCTGGTGTATATGTCCTTTAATCTTGTCCTTCGATAGTTCATTTACCTTTCTCTTGGCTTTCTCAATATAGAAAAAGTAAATGATTGGTATTTCCGTAGGTGTTCCTTGAGATTCTCCTCCGGACGGCGTTAAATGTGTTTGATTTTATTTACGCTTGCAAAGATTATGCAACTCATTCGGAAGACATAAATAAGAATAACATATTTACATATGCTAGAACAACATTGTTTTGGCATTCATGAGAGTAGATTTAATATTTATATCCAGTTTACTACATAATTAAAAGATGAATAAGGAAAATTAATTTGTAATCTACCAATACACAAATATTTTTACAAAGAAAAATTATTCGTGCAAAATTGATAATTTCATTTAAAAAATAAAAATTAAAATAGATAATCTCAGTTTAAAAATAAAAAATGTTAAAAGTCTGTATTGCATATAAAAAATGCATATAAAAAAACATATACATATGCATGTATAATACATAAGAAAAAACATCTTCAAGAATTGTATAAATTGTATAAATATAATGTATGTTTTATTTTTCATGCAAAAATGAAAACAAGCGCGTTTTTACAAAACTTTATACTTTAACATAAATTATCGCGAGCGCTTTATTCAATAATTTATATAATCTGTATAATTCTTATATCTGTGCGCAAATAAAGTAATTCTCACCTTCCGCATATGTATGCAAATTTCCAGTGGAATAATCAAACGATCGTGAAACGTTAATAATGCTAATGACATAATTTTATATCTCCGCATAATTTTTTCATGTTTTGTGGGACGTTAATTGGCGTGTTGATAAACACAAACTGTTCTCATTGATCGAACAATAACTTTAAAGATAAATAATAAACATTAATTGAGATCGTTAATCACGCCGTAAAACTGGGAATCTGATTTCTCTTGTCGGTGACCGGTGAGTTGCGAAAAGAAGCGCCCACGTTGCAACAAACGTGACGGCACGATGCAGTCGGCCAGCTGTCTGTACAGAATAAAGAATTACTCCATTTTACTCACACGACGCCGCGATTATCAAAGTGACATTTCGTCCGAAGTGGGACAGTGATGGTCTCAAGGAAACAGTCTTCTCACAATCGCTCATTCCATTTCGCGCAACGGCCGCAATGCGATAAAATAATATTGACAAATAATGCAAATTACCGTGCATATATTTTGAGACTCGTTACACAGGATATAAGTAAAATGTGATAAAATATGCGTAGAAAAAGGCCTATTTTTACTGCGTATTTTCAAGCTTTGTGAAAACATTCGATATATGCGCGTATACCAAACATGGACCTAGCAAATTCCATTCGTATTTTTTTTTTTATACAAAAGAATTCAGGATACAAAGGAGAATTTATGTATCACAAAGATTTTGGCACGTAACTTTTTTGAAAAAAACTATAAAACTTTTCTCTCTCTCTCTCTCTCTCTCTCTCTCTCTCTCTCTCTCTCTCTCTCTCTCATAAAAGTGACTTGTAAATTAGAGGAGTGATAGAGAGGTGATAAATTATGGATTTAGATATTTATAAAAAATAATGTTTTAAGGAAATTGTAGAAAGAGAGAGAGAAAGAACTAAAAAAGTGAAAAAGAAGAAATAAATTAAAATAAAGATTAGATTATAGATAAAAGTTTAGTGCAGTAATTATAAAAAATGTATTATTAGGAGAGATATATGAAGTCATAAGAAAAAAATGCTATTTTTTTTTTAAATTAATATAAGTAAAAAAAACCTAGTATTTTTATGTGAAAATTATACAATAGCAAACCAATTATAATATTAGTGTAAATTAATGTAAAAACTAAAATAACAAAAAATCTAGGATAAGAAATATTTAAATAAAAGTAATACATGAAGAGCGGATTCTAATTAGTCAATAATTATAAGATATGGTCAATAATTATATGAAATGTGTAGTTATAAGTAAAACTATAAATCAAATTCTTTCTTGACATATATAAACTTTCTTTTTCTTTTTTCTATAAAGCCTAATAAACGACTTTAGAGAAACTGATAATAAATTAAAGGGATATAAACATTTTATAATTCTAAAATAAATATCATTGTGATGTTCCACGTGGAATTATTCAAGAATTGTGAAACAAAAGAAGACATAATGCTCGACAACAATATCATCCGTTATTTACATTCTCGTCTTTCGCGCGTCAATTATGTAAATCCGAAGGACTCTAATATCACACAGTGTCTACCTATCGCACTCTCGAAATTATCATGCAACGACGTAATCGTCAATTTATAACATGTCAGTAATGTCACTGGATACGCTTGACATACTACGAGATAGCCAAGTTTTCGTCGTTTATCATCCAAATCCAAATTACTCTATTTAGAACAACTATACAAATTCCGGATATTTTTCTCAATGGGTTTTCATATTTTGTCCGTCATTAGTAATCACCTGCATGTTTATCCAGCATATCATGGAACCGGTCTATATACTGCATTATGATCGACATGTTGCCGTGCAGGTGATGACCTGTTCTCCTCCTGAAATGAAAGAAAAAGATTTTTATCGGAGACATCCAACGGTTCCTATAAAATACGATCGTAATAATGAGATTCGTGGTGTGCCACTAACGGTATTCTAAAATTAATGCAAGACACCATTTCTTCTATAATAATGACAATGAAAAAATTTTTGATTATCTTTTTGTTTTCTAATAAGTAATGGTATCTCTTGTGTTTTTACATTAAAAAAGAATATACTTTTTAAAAAATTCGATCATCCTTCAATTTTTAAGAACTCCGCTTTGAATTTCTCATATAAAAATGCAAAT